CAATTGCAAATGAACAAGTCACATTAGCAGAGGAAGCTGGCACGCTGTAGATAGATGGGATGTATTCTGCACTGGAGACAACATTACCACTTACATAGAAAAGAGGACTTCAAGAGGAAGGGAATGAGAGAGAAAACGGGGCATGAGAAAACCCTGAGCGTTTAGGCAAAAGCGTTGTAAGAAAATCCCTGACTCGCCGCATTAAAGCGACATGAAGCTGTGGGTGTCTAATCCGCTGTGGGCTCTTCATTGGTTCGGCTCCCCTTCAAACTGGCTCAGATCCACACCCCAGAGCCTCCCGGAAGCCTCCATAACCCACTGTCATGCTGCTGACTGTACCCAGGGGTTTCCGTCAACTGTATGCAAATGCACGGCGAGGATAAGCGGGGAAATAACGCTCCATGAGGAGTTTGAAAATGTTTTTGAATTCTTACACGAGTTCAAAGACGCCTGTCCAGCGTTGTGTTGTTATTTCACAGCGCACAGATTGACTGTGTTTTCTGCCCGTTCAGACTCTCAGCAGTGTTATCTGCTGTTTGCATAAAGCTGCTGGACCATGAGCTATTTGTTGAAACCAGTGGAACTAATTAGCTGAATTCATTATATAAATGTGATTGACATCTTATCGGCGTTGATTGAGTGGAGGAGCTGGATTTGGGGTGATTGCTTGACAAGCTGATTCTAGGGTGAAATACGAAGAGCAGGGGCGAGTTGACAGAAATGATTATAAATGAAGAACTGAAAACAATTCTGATTATAAGGTCCTCTGCATTCGTAGATTTATTTCTGCTAAAATGATTTATTTTGCGAATTTGTCATCAATGTGGTCAATTGTGGTGATAAGGCATGTTCAATGTGTGTGTGGGCGACTATGGGTGTGTGTAAGCGCATATGCTTGTGTGTGTGTGTTGGAAAATATGCGTGAGTGTGCCTGCATGATTACCCTGGTTAAAAAAGACCATCGTTATAGTGATTAATGGTGCCTTCATTAAGCACAGCGAGATCATTTGCATACATTAGATAAATGTGTTGGAAGACTCTGATGGCTTTGCTGTGTGAAGCCTCTGAAGCAGCGTCGCGTAATCTACCTCGGAAATACAATCTACAGCCGCAGCACAACTGTGTATGTCAAAAATGGAGTGCTATTTTACTGTGTTTGATAATATCACATTAAGGTGTTTTTCCATTTAACGCACCGCTGCCTTAAATGAATAAATAGCTAAATGGTTTCGTTCTTAACGCACAATTCGCCTGCGGTAAAGTTTACCATTACTTCCCCTGGATACACTGTGTATTCAGTTTGTTTAGAGCATCGTGTGTGTGTGCGTGTGTTGTGCACCCTTCAAGCTGTATGATGGTGCCTTTTTAAAAGAGCATTCAAACTATTAAATTCAAAACCCACCAGAAGGAGGAGAGATTGCAATTAATCAAATTCAGACTGATATTCTTCTGTTCAAAATGAGCATCCGCGCTATCATTTAACAGCATTAGGATGAATCCCAGCCATGTCACCCTTCACAAAGCGGGGAGAACTAAAAGAACATGTGAGCAATAACTGGAATGCAAATGAATCCATATTTCAGTCACTGAGATCTAATTTTCAAAAGCCAACATCTAAAATCTGCAGTGCGCCGTGCTTCAGAGCTGAATGCTGTTAATTTGTAGAAAGCTCCACTGATTACCCACTGCAGGCAGCTGCCGTTCTCCATGTGACACTAGGTTTTGTTTGACAACTCCAAGCTTTCCTGTTTCAACATGGAGAAAAAAAGAAGGTTTAATTTGAACCCTGCACGAAGAGGTTCATCATCATCAGCGCAACAACAAACAGACGAAGGAGGCGGAAGCAGAGACGTAGCTACGGTGTATTCGCAGCCAGGAGATAGTTAGAGGTCATCTCTATTTCATAACAATGATTAGCTGCTTCCATCTGCCGCTCGCTGCACTTCCCCTTTCCTTGATTGCTGTGTTCTCTATATCCAGGAAATTAGTTCATTTATGCTCAACAACCGTCAGTGAGGCGTAAACAGGTGCAGCACGACGAGCGACGTCACAGAGGGAGGACAACGCTCACACTGAGATTATATAGGAAAAACACAGCATCGACGACAATAACAATAGTTCCACGAGTACAATGGTGCCTGATTAATGCTGGAAAGACAAAAGCTAATGTCATTGTTGGAATACATGTTACATAAATCATTAGGTTACTTTTTAAAGATATACAAATAGCTCAAATATAATGTTATCCTTTTTATTTTGAACTGTGCTCACAGTAGCACGTAACATGGCCGTTGGTTGCAGTCAAACTTGTCAGCTTAAGGGAGTAGACAAAGACACTTGCTATTCAGCCATATCATCCCTATAGCATACATCAAATCAGATTACGACCCCACCGTGTCGTAGAATTTACACGCCACATCATGTGAACACGGGGTGTGTGTGTGTGTGTGTGTGCATCATGTCATGTTTGCACTTGATATGAGCACATGTGGTGTGTCAG